GCAACATCCCCCGTATAACCATACTTCCAACCCAAATCACCACTCCGACGGCTAGAAGCTAGAGAAGATACTTTCATAGAACAAGGCTTATTTTCATTCTTTCTTGGTTCTTCAAAATTCAAAAGATGTCTAATCTTATCTCGAACTGCTTCAGGAACCTTTGTACAAGAAGCAACATTACCTCTAACACCAGCATGGTGTTTTTTGAATCGGGTAATACCCCCATTGGTATCTTTTTCACAAAAATTACACCTTATACAATTTTTATCATTTGGTGTTGGGTTATATCTATACTTCCAACTCGGATCACTTTTTTTAGGAGTAGTAGAAATAGATCTATAACAAAGATTTTGTTCTTGTTTTTGTTTTACATAACTTAAAAATTGCTTAATCTCCTCTTTGACAGCTTCAGGAACATTTTTACAAGGGGCAACATCCCCCTTAATACCGGAATGATGTTTCTTAAACCGGTTTATGCCTCCTTTTGTATCTTTTTCACAAAAATTGCATCTATTACAATTTTTGTCATTTGAATTCGGGTTGTATCCATATTTCCAACCCGGATCTTCACTCTGACTAACTCCTGAAGAAGACATCTCAAAATAAAGCAAGCAATCGAAAAAATACACTTACTTTGGTTGCTTGAACTCCAAAACTTTGAGAAACACTTCGATGATTTGATGATCAATCTAATGAAATGTAGTTTTTTGGAGGTTTATTTTAGTCTAAAGGGGCTTGTTGTGGGTTTAGGATTCAAATGAACCTAAAAGCCATCATTCTTAACCTTTAAGTCTTTCAAAATAACAAAACGGAAAAAAAAATAATCATTTTTTTCTCCTCTAGGCGGGTTCCATACCGCCTAGGCGGCCGCTTAGGCGGGTTCCATACCGCTTAGGGATGGACCTCCCAATTTTACTACCTAGGCTTGGGTGATGCATTTTTTAAATCAATGCCAAAGGGAAAAGCTCCTTTAAGCGAGATGCTAGCACTTCAGCGATATTTTTTAAGTCGAATTGATTAGACGTATAGGCCGAAAATCCGTTAAGCATTTGATGCCTTCTATCGTACAGACTAAAGATATAAAAGTAGAGCATTCATTGCTCGGTGGATCACCCCTCTCGAGTGAAACTTTGAAAAGAGTGCTAAGAAGTCGGGCCTAAAAAAAATCCCAGAACTCTTTGAAGGGTGCAATGGGGAATCCATATGGACCGGGAGACCCATCTGCTGCCAGACTAGAGATGGCGGACATAATTTCTTCTTCTGAGAACGGTCTCTCTAGCCCAAGGGCCTTTTCAAAGGGGAGGGTTCGAAATTGGAGGTCCCCCATCTCTGGTCTAGGCCAAGAGGGTGTTGTGAAAAGGTTTTTGAAGAAAGAGATAATTGCTTCCTCGATCTCAAAAGGTTGATCTAGGAGTCTTATCCCCCAACCATGAGATGCGAGATAGTGTTATCCCTTCGCCTACAGTTGGCCATTCTGTGGAAGAACCTTGTGTTGAGGTCCCCCACCTTGAGCCAATTGACCCTGGACGTTTGAGACCAGTAGATCTCTTTTTTTAGGAGAGATTGGTAGAGAACTTTAAGATTAGACCTCCGAAGGGGCTTAGATGGAAGGAGGGGTTTGGATTCCTCTTCCACGCCTAAATGTTTACTCTCCTCTAAAGTGTCAGTTTTCTGCGATGCAAAAAGACCGGGGAGGGTCTTGCTTCAGACCTTCAGGTTACCTTTCAGAAGATGCAGTTTCCTTTGCAGCCAAAACCCGAAAGCCAGCCCACCCAAAGGTTGAGTTTGAGAGGGATGTCCACCAGGATGGTAATAGGGAGGAGAGGGAACTTTCTTGTCGCCAGGAAAGTTCGAAGCAGAAAGGTTTTGAATCTCTAATTGAGGGGTTGGTGTTAAGTAACAAGGGACAATGGTCTGAGGTGGGGTTAGGTAGAATCAGAGTTATTGAAATCTCTTCACCGGCATCGCGTTTCCAGTTCCGCGTTTCTGTTAAGGAATCTCCATGGAAACCGGTTTTCGGAACCAACGAAACTCATTTCTTTAATTTTGGAATCTCGATTCAACATGTCTTTAGAAACCATTTTTCGGAACCAAGGAAACTTGATTCCTTAATTTCGGAATCTCGATTCAACACATCTTTAGAAACCATTTATCAGAACGAAGGAAACTCGATTCCTTAATTTCAGAATCTCGATCCAACATATATTTAGAAACTTGAATCCATAAATTGTGGGTAGATGTTCCCAAATATATTGAATTTGGATTTCAACAAGGATTAAATTTTGATTTAACGTCAATTGATACACCAATTCAAAGTACATAATGTCCAATGTCTATGATGGTTGTGTACTTCCTAAAGGAAATTGGAGTAGAAACTTTCCTTCAAATGCTTTTAGTGGTTGCAGGGTTTCATTATTGTACTTGTGCCACCTTGGACGGGCTTTACTAAATTTAAAATATAACTGATAAATGCAACAAATACAAATAAAACTAAAACCATGGTGTAGACTCCTATTTTGTCTTCATAATAATGAAGTCAAAATCACAATTTAGAAATACTTGTTTTTTATATATAATGATCGTAAGTTCAATAATCAACACCATCATTTTAAAATTTGGGAAACCTTCTAATAAAAGACATCCAATATAGGTTCTAAAGTTGATAAGGCTCAACATGTGCTTGTGGCTTCCTTCTCCATAAAAATGAAATCTCAATTCTTGGTAGCGGTCGTCAAATGAATTCCATAGTCCTTATTATTGTAAATCTTGATCTCAAACTGGATTGATCTCTGATCCATATACTTCAGAAACTTGATTCCAAATATGCTAGAATCACGATTCGAAACAACAACATACCTTTGTTCCACATATGTCAGAAACTCGATTCCATAAATGTTGGAAACTCGATTCCATAGATGTCGGAAATTCGATTCCGCATATTAATGAATCTTGACTTCTGGAGTGTCGATTCCAGGGGGATGGGAATCTCGATTCCAAGGAGGACGAAATCACAATTCCATTTGTGGATGAAATTTGGATCTATTTTAGTCGAAACACGATTATAAAAAACTAGGAATCTCGTTTCCAATGATTCCTATTGTACGGACATCGATTTCTAAGACAAGAATCTTCTAGCCGGCCGTGATTCCGCAATTCCGGTTCCTAAAACGATTCGGGTTCCTAGGCGTTTTCAACTACTATGGATGGAACCACCACATGGGTGCCAACAAAGATGGCATTCCAATCTAGTGAGATCAAGAAGCGATCCAGTTTAGAAAGAGAGGGAGAAGAGGAGTGGTTAAATCGAGAGCCTTGGTTTGGAAGATCCAGCAGAAGGTTGTTAGAGATGAAGTCCAAGAAGAGGTTCATGGTTGGAGAAATTCTGGAAGAAGAATTTTGCTCGTGTGACCAGCTGGTGACATTAAAGTCAACCCCTAAACACCAAATTAGGTGAGGAGGCGAAGCTATCGAATTTAATTCGGTCCAAAGTTGGGGTCTGAGTGTGCCTTGATTAGGGCCATAAATCTTTGAGAATTTCTAGGGGAGGCCGTCAGAGACCCTGGTGAGTAGCACTGAGACTGAATAGGATGCAATAAGTGAGGAATTGAGAGCATTTTTTATTGGGTTCCATGTTACCCAAATGCCCCCTCAATCCCCAACAGCCGGAAGGGCTTCCCATTGACAAGGCCTCCTAGCCCAGACCTGTCTAACTTGTTGAAGGGTGGGGGAGGGGAGTTTAGTCTCAGTGAGTACGAGGATAGTTGGGTGGTGTTTAAAGCACAAGTCTCAAACAAATTGCTTTTCAAAAGGAAATCCCATACCCTGGATATTCCAAGATAAGATCAGCATTAGTAATTTAGAGAGAGAGAGAGGCATTCCTGGGAGAGCGTCGAACCACTGAGCCACTAGGGAGAGGGCTAATGGTGAGCTCGAGATAGCAAGGGGTATAGAGATAGGGTGATCATAGTTGATACCTGAGTTGAGATTTGCTAGCTCGCGATTACCCTTCCGGCTTACCTTGAGCCGAGCTTGAACATCGGCCTTGAAAATTCTTGGAACGGGCCATCAGGGCCTTTGTGCGGAAGCCCATGACCTGCATTACTTGATGAATTTTTCCTTGTGCTTTGGCTTCATCCATGCGGTCGACAAAAGAGAACGTCACCGAGGGATGGGAGTGAAGGCCTTCAGAGGGGTCTAGCGAGGAACCAAAAGCTGAATTTGTCAAGCTTTGACCCGACCCCAGAGGGGAAAGAGAGGACTGCAACTTAGGAGAAGGTTGGCGAAGTCTGAGAGGAGGAATACCATCAGCTGGAGTCGGTCAGAGATCAACCTCGGCGTTGGTTAGAAATCTATGTAGCTCTGAGCCATCGTATTTTTCTGTACGTTGACATCTTTAATCTTCACTTCAGCCGACCACAACTCTGGTCGCATGTCTTGGGTAACCTTTCAATTTTTGGGGCCCTGTTTTTCGTGAATTATAGCGGGTCACAAAACATGATGCTAGTAAATTAAAAATCAACAGGAATAATCCAATTTGAAATCTCCGAGTTATCCATGTATTTGAAGTTGTACATTCTTGATAATTTATTCTTCAATTGTGGCTTAGAGTACAACATGATCTCTAAATGGTAGCATATTATAAGCATTGCAATAGGGCTAAAAACCCTGGATGCATAATTGGAAGAACTTTGGCAGGGGAGGGGGTTTCTGTGATCTCTATAAAACACATATTTCTTGATAGATAAGAGTCTCTAGATTCAAAACAATTGAATAAGAGTATAAAACCACAAAAAAAAAACGAAATTTCTAACATGCATTTTTCTTGTAACGCTAAGTGCCCATGCGGCATAAAACCTTGATGACTTTAGAGTTAGAGTTTTAAGCATTATGCATAGAACTAATTCAAAACCAAATACTCGTGGGAAAAGGTTTGGGCATTTTGTTTTTAAAAATATTTTATGGATGACCAAAGATTGGTTCTCCTTGTTATTCTTTTTCAGGTATATGACAGAATAAGGAATAATGTCAAACTCCGTGAATCATATCCATTGCTGCATCAAAGGAAGGAATTCACTTGTAGCAATGTGTTGACCAGAAGGCCTTCTCTTACTAGTCACAGTGGAACTACCACCCCTGATACGAATCCTCCTTCGCAAACTGATGGTGATTCTGAAAGTGAAGTATCAGAATTTGTTGGCAAGAACTATGGGGATTGGTTAGACAAAGTATGGTATCAATGAGGCCCAATTCCAATGCAGATCAACATCATCATCCATACGTTCCAAATTATAGTACGGAGGAACAGTCATATTACCATCAGCCATGCAATAATAGTAAAACAGAAATCCTATATAGGGAAATGGACTGTTGTGATGCAAAACCTGCAAGTCATCTCTTATGCCAAAGTGAGCTTTCTTGACGTCGGAACAGAGTGCAGTTGAGAGGAATGACAAAGGTTGAAATGAATTTTGACATGGTGTAAAGGGTGTGTATTTTATTTTCGGTTCTAAGGCAAAAAATTTTGTTTTGTTTTATCTATTTGGTCATTGAATTGTGTGGGTTTAATTATTTTGGGTCTGTCATCTGCTGAAGGGAAAGATGTGGGGAGAGATGAAGAGAGAGAGAGAGCATCAATGCCCACTTCTACTAAGACTGCCTGTAAAGGACAAAATACAAGTGAGTTTTGTTGTTTGACATGCAATTTTTTCTCTGACAACATGGAGTTTTGCTTTGATGCTGACCCCTTGCTTTTCTTAATTTTATTTTTTGATTTATAGGTGGAGAGGAGCACAAAGGGTGGAGAACGCTGGAGATGACAATATTGAAGCTGAGTTGGCATCTCCCCAATTAAGCCCATTCATTTACCTAATGAAAGCAGCAATTTACATGCATTACATTGGACAAAAACCTTCAAGGGTGAAACAAGTCCAAAAAAATTGAGATACTTCTGAGTGTCCTCAAATTTACTACCTCTTGGCAACATGTGATTTTTCAAGTCTTCATGAAAATGTAAATCATAAATCACCTTATTGTACTAGTATCAGTCCATTTCATGACAGCCATTATCCAAATTCCCCTCCCAAATTCTAATAGGAAATTCACTTCAAAACTTCCCACATTTGTTGGACTTGTTTCACCCTTGAAGGTTTTTGTCACATGTAATGCATGTAAATTGCTGCTTTTATTAGGCATGTGAATGGGCCTAATTGGGTATTTGCATGTATATTTTGAATATTGCATACATGTAAATAATATTCAAGTTTTTGTTTTCTACGTTTCATGTTTTTGAAGTTTGCATGATCAACTGTTTGTGAGGGTACATTTCGAAACTGTTTGTATATTTTGTAAGGATGTTAAGAGTCCATATGGAGGATGCACAAATAATCCATGATGTTAGTCTTTCAAGATGTTGGGCTGTTTTAGGGAAAGTATGCAATGGTCAGTATGGGTATGGTGCAGGGTACTTAGATCCAACACCCACTATCAATACTTATTTATTGATGTTGGATATGACTTGTGGGCTCCCAAGGCCACCCTTGTTTTTTTGTGGGAACAAATACTACCCCCAAAGTCTAGGGATGAGTACTGATGAGTGGATGGTAAGTATGAGTACCCAATATGGTGAGTATAGGTTCCCAATACTTTCTTTGTATATAGTAGAGGGTCACATTATTGGAAAGAGTTTTGTGAATGTACACACACTTGTGTACACGCACTTGTGCACTTGCACACTTCAAACACACTGAAATGTGCATATATCATTTTTTTAAGCTATTAAGACATTCATACATGTACATTTATTGTATTTATCTATGGGAGCAGGCGTGTATGTGTAGGTATATGTGCATGTATGTACATAGGTACTGGTATGGATGGACAGATTTACTGATTTGGAGGCCTGATGCTTGATGAATGTATCATTTTGTTGAAATTGCATTTGAGAAGAGTTTCTCTGGATTTTACCCAGAACAGATTTGCAATTAGTTTTTCGAGATAATGGTTGCTTTAGTAATCATGAGAGTTATGAAATGTGTAATTGTGATTAATTAAAGAGAATGTTTGATCATTACAAAGATTATCTTGTGACAAGATACATACTGGGCCTGCAACTACCATTTTAAGAAGGGCTTTCTAGTATGAGTAAGACAGGTCAAAATCCACCCTTTGGATGGAGGATGGGATATTGCTTAGGTGGACCAAATGGATTATAATGATAAAAAAAAGTTGGAAGGCCACTTTGAGTAAAGGCTGCACGCTTTTATCACATTCCGGTATGTGAACCAAAGATGTTGATGGTACCCAAATCCGCTACTTGACATTAATCTCTCTTTGTTCTTGACAATAGACCTTTCTCTCTCTCTGTTGCACAGTAGTTTGTAATGGTCCATTGTCTGTAAGTGGTTAGTTTTTTTTTTTTAAGGTAAATCAATGGGGAGAAATGGTCAGAGGATGGGATGAGTTGTTCATCATAATCGTTTATTATTGACAATAGGCGGTCGAGGAAGGACGTGCTATATTTACATGTATCACAATATTGCAACCATTAATTGCTTTTTTAGATGAATTGTTCCTATGCTTAATGTCTATTTATGAGAATACTTTTTTTTCTCAACATTGGATGATTGAGGTACGTGATACATTTTGCTAGTAATAAATTATAATAACACTTTCATTTTTTCAGTTAGTATAAATAAGAAAATCTTGGGGGAACTTAGGTATGGTTTCAATAGACAATAAGATAAGAGACAGTAGAATCAAATGGGTGATGTAATATAATACTGGTTAGGAGTTGCGATGTGGTTCAAGTAGAAAGCTCTAAAAAAATAAAGAGAAGATCTAAAAGGATATAGATGGAATTAGTGAGAAAAAATATATAGATTTATGGTTTTTTTCAAGGTATAATATTTGATAGAGCAGAATGATGGAATATTTGTGTAGTTGACTTCAAATAATTGAGATAAGATTTTGACAGTGATGGACTTGCCTATATTGAATAAGATTTGCAAGTCACTCAATAAAATCAGCCATTTGAAAGTGTTTAAGAAGCTTAGCTGGAAAATGAGGACCACTAGAGAGAGAAAGAGAGACTCTACTCTAGAAAAACAGAGAGAATAAAGAACATGTTTGGTCCTTGCAGAAAATAGCTTCTATATTGGTGTTATGTACTCATTTATACATGTGGCAGCTGCCTAGTCTTCCTGTATTTCTTCTCATTGCCCATCTTTCTTCACCTTTATTATGGATTTCTTTCTCCCAAAAAAAAAGTATTATATGCATATTTTTAGAGGATACAAATTAATTTTGATGGGCCTTAATTACTCAGGCATGTATAAGAATTGGAGTTTGCAAATTATAGAGATATTGACAGGTAAGAGTTGTTTAAAGTAAAATTAAGACATCTTAATGTCCAATTAGAATTCCCTTAGGTTCACTCTTTTCTCCCATAGGTTCACCTCTCTCTCTCTCTCTCTCATACTTTGTTTTCATGAGGTTCCCTTTGGTGCTGCCATCACTCACATGACTAAAAGTCCCATTCAATAGATGCATCTCTCTCTCTTTAATAGTTTTCTTGAGGACTCTATTCATCTATCTACCCCTCCAAGAGTGCTATTCTCATCTTTATCTTTTTTGTTTTTTGTTTTTTGAGCTGGACCAAAGGCCATGTGAATCTCAAATCAATTTCAGTTGCTTTAGCACATAGTTCACTAGACATATTGGTCATAGGGCTTAAGAAGGAAGAAAAATAGGCAAAAGATGAATAGGCTAGGCATGAATAAAGAAATAATGGTAGGGGAGGTGTGCACGCAAATCAACATTCACATCAACAAGACAATGAACCAAACATTGTCAAGGAATAGGTTCAACAACACAGAATGAATCAAACATTGTCAAGGAATAGGTTCAACAAGACAGAATGAACCAAACATTTTGAGAGGAGTAAATTAGGAATATTATATATTTGAAATTCAAAGAAATCTATGGATTTTTAATATCAAGGATTTTTGTCATGGATTCTTTAAATCTCTTTTTTGGATAAACTATACAGAGTTCATGGATTGCTTGCAATCACTTTTATGTCCATTGTTTGGTAACAAAACTTGATACAATTTATCTCTCTAAAATTTTTATATGCTTTCTCTATCTAAAACTCAAAATTTGGGATAATGTATCTATAAAAATTTTGAGATAGTTTCTCTCTCTAAAATTTGATATGGTTTGTCTCTCTAAAATTTAATATACTTCTATCCAAAATTTAAAATTTGAAATTGTCTATCTAAAAATTTTGAGATAATTTCTCTCTCTAAATTTTTTAGGTGCTTTATTCTCTCTAAAATTTTATATAATTTCTCTTTCTAAAATTTTAAGATACTCTAAAACTTAAAACTTGAGATAATTCCCCTTTTCAATAATTTTTAGATAGTTTCTCATTCTAAACATTTTTAAGTTGTTTCTCTCTCTAAAATATGATATAATTTTTCTCTCAAATTTTAAGATACTTTCTCTTTCTAAAAGTTAAAATTTGAGATAATTTTTCTATAAAATTTTTGCTATTGTTTCTTTTTCTAAAAGGTTTTATGTATTTTCTCTCTCTAAAATTTGATATAGTTACTCTCTTAAATTTTAATATGCTTTCTCTCTCTGAAACTTCAAGTTTGAGATAGTTTCTCTCTCTAAAACTTCAAGTTTCAAATAGTTTATCTCTCTAAAATTTTGAAATAGTTTCTCTTTAAAATTTGATATATTGTCAATCTAAAGTTTGATATACTTTCTCTCTTTAAAGTTTAAAATTTGACATAAATTTGACATACTCTCTATCTAAAACTTAAATCTTGAGATAGTTTATCTCTTTAAATTTTTTTGAGATAGTTTCTCTCTTTAAAAATTCATGTACTTTCTTTATTTAAAATTTGATATAGTTTACCTCTCGAAAATTTTAATATACTTTTTCTCTCTAAAACATAAATTTTGCGATAGTTTCTCTCTCCAAAAATTTTGAGATAGTTTCTCTCTCTAAAATTTTTTAGGTAGTTTCTCTCTCTAAAATTTGATATAATTTCTATTTCTAAAATTTTAATATATTCTCTCTTTCTAAAATTAAAAAATCGAGATAGTTTCTCTCTAAAACTTAAATTTCGAGATAGTTTATCTCTCTAAGAATGAGATAGTTCTCTCTCTAAATTTTTTTTTGGCCGTTTCTCTTTCTAAAATTTATAATAGTTTTTTCTCTAAAAGTTTAAGAATACATTCTCTCTCTACAAATTTAAGAATATTTGTCTCCAAAACTTAAGATTTGATATAGTTTGTCTCTTTAAATTCTTTTGAGATAGTTTCCATTTCTAAAACTTTTTAGGGACTCTCTCTAAATTTGATATATTTTCTCTCTCTAAAAATAAAAATATGAGATTGTTTCTCTCTCTAAAAATTTGCATGTACTTTATCTCTCTAAAATATGATAGTTTCTCTCTAAAACTTAAAATTTGAGATAGTTTCTCTCTTTAAAAGAGATAATTTATCTCTTTAAAATTTTTGGTATTGATCTCTCTCTAAAATTTTAACATACTTTCTCTCTCTAAAATTTTAATATACATTCTCTTTAAAAGTTAAAATTTGAGATAGTTTATCTCTCTAAAATTTTGAGATAATTCATCTCTCTAAAAAATTTGGTACTTTCTCTCTCT